TGTTCAACTTGTCCATCTCACACTTGTGTTGGATTTTTCTTTTTTAAACAGATCTGCTACGATTAGTGAAGTTGTGTAAAGAGCAGTTAATGTACATTAAATCATAGGCACAAAGAGACTGCTTAACAGTTAGTTGTTAAATCACAATCTGAAAAGAGAAAGAGAAAACGATCGACTCCCTTTAAGTTTAACACTCCGGGGATCATCATACAACTGTTTCTTTGATTCTGCCCAAGTTCTTGTTAAATTTGAATACACGTTTGTATTGTGCTTAAATTCTGTTGTCCTGGTTAAAATGTCGCCTTAATTATTGATCCGATTGATTCAATTGCAACTTCACCGCGCATACGAACCAGTTGCGTCAACGTTTCCTTATCATAAAAGTGCTTTAGTCAAATACAATAATATATCAACCTTGCCCAAATTATCTTAAGAAAATAAGAACATAAGAAACTAGTTGTAAAACGTAACATATAAATTGCTGAAATCGGCTTTCGGAATCAACATTTGGAGACAGGAACCGCAAACAAGTTTATTTTTTCTCACTAGGTGTTTACTCTGTTGTGGACGGGTATTGAGCGACGGCCATGCGCGCACGTGGCTTGTGAGGTTTTAAATAGCGACAGGGTAATAATAGATCCACGATACCAATTTAAAAAGCTTGCTTGACAAGCCATGAATATGCATTCATTGTGACGGCATATTTGCACTGCCTGAAGGTTAGCGACTGACATAATACGGGCATTTTATTCAATGGAATGATTTTTTTCTACTACACTGTAGTCCTTCAGTTTCTGTCGGGGAATCGCTACCTAATGTTATTGAGTTTATTTCCAAAACACGATACAATGTATATCCATTTGAAGAAAGAAATGTGAAAAAAATTGTGCATGGTTTTGACATTCTAAAGAAATAAAAAACAGTGTAACAACTTTTTTATCAGCTTCAGTTCCTTAATTGTAATTTCAAATTGTCTTTCAGTAAATAACAGCCGTCGAAACTGCTTTCGGGCGGCTAAGGAGAGCGGTATTCTAAAGGGGAACAACAAAAGTTTATTGCATTTAGATCGGATTTAATCGGATTGAATTAAGCTCGTTCAATAATTATTATGACAAACACCACTCGTCCGTTGCGTATAGGTTTGTCACCTTTTGACTTTCACAACAATGATGTAGGCCTGGTTTCTGTTGGAAATGAGCCTCAACTTTGACTTTTTAATTGAATATAAATATTAAATTAAATATCCCGCTTAATTTAATAATATCTTACTTAGTTGAGAGGGAGTGTGGCCTAGTGGTTAGGGTCCGTGGCTTCGTGACTCATGATCAGAGGCTTTTGTGTGTCCTTGGGCAAGCCACTTCACTCCATTTGCCTCTCTCCATTCAGGAGTATAAATGGGTGCAAGCATTAGCTGGGGAGTAACCTGCGATGGACTAGCATCCCATCCAGGGGGAGTAGACATATTCTCAGTCGTTTCATGCCAAGGAAACCATAGATAAACCGTCAGCCTGATGAGCCATATTGGTTATTGACAGAATTACCTGAAACTTTTTTTTAATTGAATAAAGTATCAAAACACTAAACCTTCAGCCCATAACCATTTCCACCAGTGACCAGTATAGTGACAATTTCACCGTAAAGAAAGTGACAGACGGATATCAGTATCCAATTGCAGAAGTCCAACGAAGTATGGGTTACAAACGAGAGCTGTCTATCATACAAGAGCTGAATTTCATCAAGGCTCTACTGTGCCACTCGAGATAACGTATCACAATAACAAAAAAAATTGAACAGTGGCAGTGTAACATTGAATGGGTACATAAAAGTAGAAGGTTCTTTGTTCAGAAGTAAAAGTGCACATTCCTTCTCACGTTAGCAACGTGCACCCGATTGAGTTTTCTGTATCATTTTTTTTGGGGGGGGGGGGGAGGGGTTGAGTGCAGCTGTATTGGGCTATAATCGACGTCAGGCCTCTACATAGATTAGTGACAGACACTTCAAAAACGATCAAAATGGTTAATAATTTGCAAAGTTATGGCGACAATATATAACCCAGGTCCTAATATTGCGTGGGTCTGACTTTCATCACGACAAATGAATAACAACTATAACTAGGCAATTTGTGCCTAGTTATAGTTGCTATTCATTAGCGGATAGTCCTAGTCAGTAAATAATTTTAGTTGTGTATTTTTTTTTCAAAAGCATATTGTAGGCCTATGTGTTGTGATGTGTTTGCGATAAATATCCATATTTGTTTTTGTCGTGCCTCAAATAAATCAAAATTATGTAAAGTAATCATTTCATAGATCAACGTGGATGAATGGGTTTTTTTGGGCTGTCTAATATAAAAGTTAATAAATTTTCCATTGCTCGGAAAATAGCAACTCAAAAAGTAAATCCTGTTTTCGTGGTGAAACTAGCACGGATATTATTATCATCTTTATTTAACCGACTAACTCTTGTGACTTGAGTTGCATGCAGCTTCCATGATTCGATCCGATATGGTAAAAGTTGATTTTGACAGAACGTTTGAGAAGTTCAAGACAAACTGAGGATCTTCACCTTATATGATTCAGTGTTTAGTGCTTAGCGTTTTTTGTCAATCAGCCGTAAACCATTAATACACCACATTACAATTGAGCTTAATAAGCCGGAATTGGCTGTTGCTAAGTAAAACTGTTCAACAATGTGTGGGCTCATGAGCAGGTCCTTGAATTCTTTGCCACGGGTTTGAATTCAGAATAGTAATTTTACTTGAAAGAATATAATGTGCAGACATCACGAACAGGGGCGGAAATGAGGGGGAGGGGGAGGGGGTGGTGAGCGAAGGCGTACAGAGCTGAGGCGCAAATCTGGGGAATCACGCATCCCCCCCCCCCCCCACACACACACACACACAGACACTTTTTGACCCGGGGATGGGCTATTGAATCATCCCCCCCCCCCACACTTTATTGTGATTAGAAGAAAATGCGTATTTCGAGCGAGAATAACACATAGGCCTATTGGTACACATATATATATATTCTGAAGAGTGCCCTCTAGTGTAATGTGGTGTCCAGCCCCAGCCCTCCCCCCCCCCCCCTTCTTTTCGAATTTCCATCACGGCCGGGCAAAATTTCTTATTTTGGTCATCCCCATCTCGGCACAGATTTACGCCACTGGTGCCGAGGGCTTTCTCCTGCACGATTTGAGAATAAAGGAAATTTGAGAATACATCTAGGAACTTCAGCATTCCATTTTTTATTTTTAGTCCCGTTACTATTAATCAGCCGCTGAATTGGGGGATGAAAAGCCCCTCCAGATCCCACACTTTGAATTAACTTGATTGACTATAACGGCTTTACGTTTCCAATGACGTGAAGTTGATTCATCATCGAAGAAAAGTTAAACATTTCCTCCTCTTTTTTTGGACGTAATCCTCGTCAGCTGCCGCCACGCCAAACAATTACACTTTATTGGGATAGCGAAGGCCTCAGTGTTTCTTATAACCCATGCGAAATCCGTATACCCTCACATATTTGTGTTTATCCCTGTGCGTTCAAAAGGCAACAATAGCCAGTGTGATTTTTTTTTCAGCAAAATCCTTTTGAGCCCGCTAAATGCAATCCTGACTTTCTAATCACTGTTGTTCCTCTTCATGACTAGCACACAAAGCAATACCGTGTATCAGGCTTCCGGCGATCAGGTGCTAGCTGGGCAGAGAGCGAACCAACAAAAGACACTACCGAGATAACTGTTGCATCAACCCACAAGAAACCGGCTCCAGATTTAGGGCTATCATTGTCCGTCTTTATCTTCGTTTAATCCTCTTATCTTCAGGGTTCGGTCGGAGCAGGCGTTCAAGCCAGTCGCGTGCCGTTTGTTCAGACTATTGATCTGACTTAATTAGGGTAAATATTGCCCCCAAAACAATTACATTCTGATTCGAATATGATGAAAACAGAACGAGATCAAATAACATCTGCCACCTGTGGGATCTTCGGAAAGTGATCTACGAGACAAAAGTCCCATTTCCGCTACGAAAGCAAAATACTCTACAGACTTTACAGAAGGTTCTTCACTACAATGACATTATTAGAAATGATTTGTGACTGCAGTAGAGTTGTATTATTGAAAAAGCTGTACAATTTTCTGATAAAGTATACAGATAAATGAAAAGAGACCATCTTTGGTAACATCTTTTATTCATACAAGAATTATCTTAGGCCTGCACTTTTTCATTTGGGGGGGGGGGGGATTTAAACTACAAACCTTATTGGAAGGCGTGCACTTATGAGACTACGGAGACTGGTCGGGGTCACTTTAATGCATTCACTTCTACCCGATGGGGCTTTTGTGTACTAAAAAAATGTATAGTGCACATTATCCAGGTCTTACCGTATTGGAACCTTTCCTTTAATTGATGATGAAACATTCCAAACTAAAAGGACGGCCAACATTATTGAAGCTTAGTCGCATATAAAAAATAATCACTAATTCAATAATTGATTGACTTGTCCTTATTCTGCTAGAGGGACTAATGGACTTCATTTTCAGAAGATAACGTCTGTGCGCCATTTCGGCGCCATTTCATCTTTTCTTCGGGTCATTTTGTTTCATTTATTAATGAAATGGCTTGTGGTTTTTTTTTTAAATTCAATGTGTAGGCCCTACAATTTTCCAATTTATAGATTGAGTAAAAGCTGACCTAGTTCGACTGGTCCAAATTCCCATGTTGGGTCTCGATAATTAATTTTGATCGGTTTGAAATTGGATGAAAGGAAAAGGCTTGGAATCTCTTGCTAAAAAAAAATACCAGGGTACGGTTATTACACTCGTTTTATAATAGCTTTGGTGGACACGCGTCACTTGTTATATCGCCCGTTAGCCAATCAGCTTATTCCGAGGCGCGCTCGCGTGCATAATTAAATACCGGGGCCCGGGCGCGCGCGCTGCCTTGCATGGGATGGGATTGGAAGTTGTGCTGAGGGAATCATTACTTTATGAATTCAGCTTGATAACAATGATCAGCCAGCCGGCAGTGGGCTCGGTGACCGTTATTCCGCGTACGCCGGCTCAGAGAGCGGAACGGCTCATGCATTGATCACTGCTATCACTGGCCTTGCTACGCTAGTGTGTGGACCGTTATTTCACACAAGACACTCGGTGAATTGGAAGAGGGCCGGACTAACAGAGAAACCTCCGACCATCGGGGCTTTCGGAACACTTTGACCTACCGTCGACTTGACTGTGAATAAATTCACTTATAATCACCTTGGATAAAGTTTCCACCCACGCTTAGTTTTATAGTCATTTCGAGCTGTTGAAAACAATTGTTTTTATTTTATTCGTGGATAAAACTGAGTCACGCGCAGCAGAATCAGATGTTTTGTTATTAGAAACTGAAACGACACAGAATACACAAAGACTTTAAATGATAAGCCCACTACCGCTGCACGCAACTTCTGGATTTTCTTGAGTTTGGTATCTTCGCTGTCTTGGGAACTCTGCTATCCTTGGATTATTGAGGCAGGATTTATACATTTCTGGACTCCTTTTTGTGTGGTTCGTTGGTAAATGTGTGCAAGAACGCAAGGAATGCGCAAGTATTAGTATCGCCTGGATGGAGTCAAGATCTTCGGATTACGCGTTGCCGTTACCTCGGACCGTGGCCGTAAGAATGGGCGTGTGCCGGGCCTGCGCTCGGCTGGTGCTCGCGGCCGCTCTACTGCTGGGTCTCGGTAAGTGACTTTTATTTTCGTTCACACCACGCCGGTGTTTTGACAAGAGTCCAAATTCCTTTAAGGCTGTTTTAATAGAGTCAGATGTCCACACAGAGAGAATATCAGAAGTTCATTCAATACCTAGGTAGTCTATGTGGCAGTAACGAATCAATATAGTAATGATATGTACAAGATGTATTGAAGAAACATTGAAAATACTTAACATCATCAGCCTGACATATAATTGGTGGGAAAAAATGTTGCAACCTGACGCCACTTCCGCGATTGTGTACAAAGTCTATAGAGAGTCAAGAAAAATTTCCAAGTATTTCCCAACAAAATTGGAAATTTATCTCAGTCCCAGATTCATGTCTTATCATCATTTTTGCAATGGATGACCTTCAATGAGATGATATATGAAGAAAAATTTGGCGTCAGATTGCAAATTCTTTTCCAATTGCTCAAAAGACCTGAAATTGCAATGCTGAATTATAAGATAAAGTAAAAAACAAATTTCGGAGTGAGTATTCCTTTACAGAACTTCCGCTCACCAAAAAATATTGTTTTCTTCAATTCGTGAAATTAATTTTACCTACATGTACAAGGTGAAAACAAACCATAAAATTCCGTTCGTTCTGCACGGTTAAAGGAAATTCTCAGCGCATAATCCCACTCTGAGAAGTAAATAGCCTGTAACTTGAAAGCATCACTATCGACTATGGAACAGAACATTCGCCGCAACACATATCCCCTTTAAAGCCTACGTGCACCTTTAAGAATTCCCAAATTGTAAAAAAAAAAAATAATCAGTTGTTGTATAAAATGCTGTAAACTAAAATAAGGCATACAAATTGTTAAAATGAACGGATTTTTAACCATTACGCAAATTCCTGTTGATGATTCTAAAAGTAAAAAAAAATTGATACAGTTGTCTTTTTTCTGTCTACAAATAGAATTTAAATTGAGTTAATTTTCTTCTCAATTGACAATGTATTCGAGAATTTAAAGCTCCAATGTTATCTATGAGTAGGGAATCATCCATCAGAAACCCAGCATGGCTTACATAGATAGATGACCCTAAACAAATGATTAAGCTAAAGTTTAATGCAAATATTATGGAGATTTTCTTCAGTGTGTCATGCAAAAATTCAATATGTGGCAAAGGTATCATCTTTATTGCAGTTTCGTGTTGCGAAAAGGACATAGAATGATTGTGTCGTTACGGGAAGAATGTCAGACCCCTCTTTAAATTGCTAAACGAAAACACGACACAAAACATATGCCACTGCTGTCGTAGTAGGAAAATAGCAATCCTTTGTTGCGCATGCACAACGATGTAGGCTACCCTGTACGGTGTGGTAGTTCAAGATAATTGATATATCGCGCGATATCGCTCAGCATCCTCCCAATAGCCCAAATCCCCTGGGACGAAAATTGGTTTAAATTTAATGCTACAAATTGGATTCAATCTTCTGTGACATTTAAAGGGGACTTTTTTTCCCCCGTCTGACAACGCCTAGACGATTGGCTCACATTAGAGGGAAATTGGAACCACACCGCGAATAATAAATTTGGTCGGATTTAGTATTATGACTTCGTCATCCTGTTGATCATATTCATAACTAACCACCTTGAACATTGCACATACCACGCATGCCACAGTAACATACCGGCATATACATATTCCCATGTGAGTCAGCGATCCTTCATTATTCACCCAATTAATATTTCATAATAAAATCACCAACTATTACACAAATTAATAACTTGTCAAATGTAATCACCACTAACATTTCCAAATTATACATTTATAAAGTTTATTTTTTAAATTTCCAAGGTTGCAGATGCTTAACATCAATTATCATTAAGATGAATGTTCTCAGTCATCCAGTAGTATTAAATGAAATATCAGATGAATCGAATTCTGGGCTGGCAAGCTGCAAAACCTAAGTTCCAGAATTCGATTTATCTGATTTTTTCATCAATTATCTTTATTGACATCATTTACTGACACTGGTTTGAATGTAAATTAAGCAAAGGGTATAAGTTCGTGGACTCACGGACGTTAAATTTTTTAGCAATTTCTTTTATTTCCGCTAAGATGTCAATAGTTCAGTATAGTTTTTGTCTGCGAAAACAATTTCTTGGCTTTATTGACAGTTTTTATTCTTTATTCATTATTCGCGATATTCTAAGTTGTACCCAACAGGTCCTATGTTCATTCATAAACTGATGAAAACAATGTAAGGAGCTATATCCCCTTTTAGCAATAAGAAACTAAAAAAAAGTGGTATGTGTGCCTCGCTATATTTGTTAACATACAGGGTGAGTCAAACAGGAAGTGACCGAATTAGAAAGAAAACATATTTTACAAAATATCTGGCTCGCCCCATTTCATAAAAATAACAGGGATAAAAGTAAAGGTTATTGACTAGTAACTTTGAACATTTCACACAATTTGCATACTCTATTCCCAAGTTATGTCTATTTTAATAAACAGATCACAAAATTCAGCTGTCCACTACTGATCATTTACCGTTCTACGAACTGATGACTACCCATTAAATACAATGAAACATGGACGTTTTCCCACCTCCATGAATGAACAAAAACTTGCAAAAGAAAACAGACAAAAATCGCTATCAATATTTCAAGAGGAAAAAGTTGAGTTATTCCTCATATCCAAAGCACAAAATCTGACAGTCACAAATAATGTTTCATTCTTGACTCAAATGATTAAAATCTCGTTTGTATTTGAATGCCTGTGTGTGATCTATTTTCTCACTCAGCTCAATAGCTTGAAATGGCATTCAATGGACAGCAATAAAAAGAGACAATCTTAGTGAAACATTCATACCGTCTGATAGAATGAATTTCTGTAATTTTGTTGTCAGATGAGAGGAAGAACCTGCTCTTTTAGGTGATACTTCATTGGTGTATCAAAAATTTGATTGCTTTATAAGAAACAAAAGAATTAATCCAGGTCAGTTTCTTTTTGACTCACCCTGTATTGTGGTGCATTATTTTATCTGTATTCTCTTTTTATCTTTTATTTTACGAAAGACATTCGAATAGCGCATAGTCCATTTCGATTCGTGGTGTCAGCGTTGGGATTAAAACAAAACACCAATGGGTTTTATATCAATTAATGTTATACAGTAATGCACCGGGTCACTCGTACTCTAGCCATACGACCCTGGTACATGGATTTAAACAAAGGAAGTTAAGGTCGAGAGTTAAGGCCTGGTGAAATCGCCTACCAGCAAAACTGTATAGGTTTAATTAGGATGCTGGATTTACAGGGACAAAAAATAAAGTTTGGTCTATCACGATTGCCTGACTGATCGGTTGCCTGTCTCCGATATTAAGCTAGACAGCATTGTTCTGGCACGGTTACGACCGAATGACAAACATGTAAGCGATGTAAACTGACAACTGACAAAGGTGCTGCGTGACAGTTGTGACTCTGTGAAATATGGACCCCTGGGGCATAATAAATAATGTACATGGAAGCAAACCCATCACTGTACTAAAACGAAAAAAAAAAACATACATAGAAATAGTAACGGTAGGAATTATTTATTATGTATTTGTGAATAGTCTTATCGTATACGGTAGTTTTTTTTTCAATTAAACTATAACTGCTATCCCAAATGGCCCACATATAACTGCTACTATAGCACTGCTATTAGCCCTAATAGTTTGAAAAGTAAAATATTAAAATTAAAAAAAAAGAACAAAAAGGATTAAATACCTGCGGCCATGAATGGGGCTAAGGAGAGAAACATGTTTAGGGCCATACTCGGGCTTAAGAATATCTTTTAAAGAAATATGCCAGCATTCACAGTTACTTTTGGTATGAAAGGAAAAAGTGGATCCCATTGAGTCGAATCTATAATATACTTTATTTACGAAGAAGCCGGTTCCGATCGTGTTCCCTGAATCTATCTTATAAATTGTTACATGGGTCATGGGATGGTGCCAGACCATTTTATGATTGGAATGTGTTCCTAGCCTCACTTTCCTTGAACTTTTTTAAATGCGGCATAAAGCATTAGTGTAGGTTTAATCAGAAATTTAAAATGTTCATAAGAGCTGACTAGTATTGCTTTGCAATGCAGTTTTATTTCATTGCTTTCATTTACACTCGCACGTTCCAAAATTGAAGAGTTTACCTGGCTTTCAATTTAATATGGCCGACTCGTGAATAAAGTATATATGGCACCGACCAAGCATGAACTATGCAACCTATTTGACGTCGTGCCTGTGGAGCCGGGTGCTAACAGGCAACACATGCCTTTCTCATTCTTTTGTGTCCAATATTACACACAGCGATGCCTAAACAAAGTAGACTGAGTTGTTGTTTTTCATTGAAAGTCGTAGCCATGTGTCCAAAGCAAGCATTTTTTTTGTATACAAGTATGGTATGGTCTACAATCCAGAAGTAATCGTTGAGAGCCGGATCGATCCGTGGTTATATACATGTACGTGTATACGATCCGTGGTATATTAAGAATGTATAGACTCGGGATCGGCGCTGATATGGTATATAAATTAAGAGCCTGGTTTTACGTGGCTAAACTATCGACCCTTTAATGACATGATGCTGATGGATTGGCCAGCCAAACTGTGCCTATGTTTAATATTACACACGCCTCCCATGCTTGTTTAGATTGACTGCATTACAGTATTGTCAATTTCGATTGTGATCAGACTTGCGAATCTACTGCTGTTAACTGTTAATTGAAAGACTATTTAATCGTTGTTCCGGGGTCATCAGTTGATACAAAAAATAAGCGTAAACAGGGGCGGATACAGGAATTTTTGCAAGGGGGGGGGGTTTGAGGCTCGTTGGATTAGTTTATTTCTGATTGTTGCGGACATCCGGACATATAGGTAATTATTATTACTATAATTGTTTACAATTTTGTTTGCGTGTCGGAGCGTGTGGGGGAGGCGGGGCGGGGTTGCACCCCTACCCCCTTATATGGATCCGCGCCTGGAAAAGACAGTGAAAT